AAAAAAATACGATTTTTGTAAAAAAATTCTTTTTTATATTTTTAACTTTATAATGCTATAACTTTTTGAAAGATGTATGGATCAATATAATTTTTTTTTTATAGATGCATGATGTCTTTACCTATCATTTGGTATATATTTTTTTTCATATCTGACCCTTTACGTGGCCACAGGGGGGGGTTTAAAATGACAACTTTTTCACAAAAAATTTACTTTTTCAACTTAAATTTTGAAACTGTTCCGAAAAGTCTGACAGTTTTATTTATATCTTAAATTAAAGTTAATGTAATATACTTTATTATGCGAAAAAATATTTTCGGACTTTATTTTATCTTCACGGTGTAAATGGNGAAAAAAAAAATTTCGGACTTTATTTTATCTTCAAGGTGAAAATGGCTACCAAATGCTATTATTGTGTGAAAATTCTCGATTTTATTTTTTACATTTTTAACTTTATAATGCTATGACATATTGAAAAGTGTATGGATCAACATTATTTTTTTATGAGAAATAATATTTTTTAATAAACCCTTTTTCATTCGACATACTTTATCTTAATCAGGATATTAATAAGGAACTAGCAGTTTATGATGCTTTTGGAATAATCCACCAATTTTTAAAATTAAACACTATCTAAAGATTTGCATCGAAGAGTTTTTTTTTTTGATAGTGATTTTAATCACTATCAGATATCATTATACATGATCCATCTATGCCACGTCACCACTGTGCTGGGTTTTTTTATCTGTATATACTATTTTTTAATAATATTAAAACTTAAAAGTGATAGAAATAGTCTAATTGCACATTTGAAAACATAGCGAAATGTTGATTTACAATATTATATTTTTGTTTCTGATGAAAGTTCCTTGTAGTACAATGTATATAACTTATAACTTTGTTATCTGTGAAACTTTATCAAAAATGACCAAATCATTTTATTTTTTTTTTTTTATATAGATGCATGTCTTTATTTATCATTTGGTTTTTTTTTTTTATAAATCTAACCCTTTACCTGCCCACAAGAGGGATTCAAAATAT